CGCTGCAAGCAGCAGCGCCGGGGTGAGGGGGCTGCACCGCCCAACCCTGCGCAGCCCCTCTCCCTCCGCGCCTCTCTTCTTGTTTTTGGCAGAATGAGTGAGAGAGACATACAGAGCCTGAGCAGATGGGTTTTGGTGCTCACTCTCTGCCTTACCACGCTGTGGGGAAGACTGACGCTGGCCTCCGCCCATCACAGAAGCCACTCAGGTAGGGGAAGCGACATCCTCGCGACGTGCGTCACGCGCTTGTGCAATCGCCCTGGGCCCCCCAGCACTGCTGGGACCTCGGGGTCTCTGTGGGATGCCCGGGCGGGCGTTACGTGGGGCTGAGGTGCTGGGGAGGGTGTCCTGCTTTCCTGGCACTGTCAGAGTTTTGCGTGGCCGCGCTGGCAGCTGCCTCCTCTCCTGGGCTGGATTTCCGTGGGCTCAAACCAGGAATTCCGAGTTTGTTTGCAGAGTTCATGGGCTTTATTTTCCTGTTGTCTGCCCCCCAATTTTGCTTTGTTTGGGACAGTTTTTTGGTAAAGGTTATGTCTGAAACGCACTTTCACAAGGTTGCGTTCTCAGTTGTGATGACGTTTTGGTCCCGGGGAGCCCGCAGTTCCGTTTCTGCGCGTGGAGCTGATCTGGAGGGCCTGGCTGTGCTGCTCCTGCCTGCGCCCCGGGGTCGGAGATGCTGGTGGGCTGGGTGCGTGAAGGGACCCGCACACCCAGAGCTTTCAGCCAGTTAGAGCAGTGTGTTTATGCACAGCTAAAACCAGGTGTGGCACTTAGAAGTGAGCGGTAGCAGAGGAAGAGCTTTAATTGTGACAGTGTGGCCACGCGGTTTCAGAGCCCCCAAACTCCTGAGCTTCTTGACCAGAGCGCCCGTCTGCAGCGGCTCTGTTAGCCGTGCGGGGAAGCACTGCACTGTGAACATCGGGCTGTGGAAATCGGATCTGTCCACTGGTGCTCACCCAGCACATGGGGGTTGCTGCTGCGTCCGAGCAGAGCCGTGCTTCCTGGGGTGTGTGGCTGGATTTAAATAGCCGCATGAATCAAGTGCAGAGGTGAAGTCGTTTGGAAATGGGATAGAAGACTCCTGGGTGAAGAATGATTCACCAGCAATTTAATCCCTCATATAACGTGGTGAGCCCTACGTGATGAACAAGGCTTTCTTGTCTGGATACAGCTCCTGCAAAGGTGGCCCCAGCGTCTTCAGATAAAACCCGCTAATGCTGATAATCAAAGTGCCATCTTTGCCTTCGTTCACATTCATCACTCAGCCCAGAGCAGAAGTGAAGACATTTTAGTCAGCTGGGATTTGCTTTCGGGAAATGAGGTTCTCCAAGTGAAGGGAGAGCACCGATTTCTGATTATCTTGTAAGTGAGATTTACTGGTTAACGCATCGCTGCTCGGAGGGAAGACAGCAGCTCCAGGCGTTTAGCTGTGAGATGCTTCTGCAAGGTCCCCTCCTGGGAAAGTGTTGGTTCCTCCGTCACGTGCAGCCTTCGCGTCGAGGTGGAGTGCTTTCCTGGGCCACCCTCTCTCGGTGAGGCAGGGGCTGCGCTGGGCGGGTGGGGAGCATCGCTCGGGGCCGTGGCACAGCAGGTAGCTGCCTCCTCCAGCCGCAGGTGCCCGGGCAGGTTCCTTCGCTGCGCGGCGGCAGAACACCTCCAGCCGTTCTCGACACAGCGCAGGCGCTTGGAGCTCTGCTTGCAGCCGTGAAGTGGTGGGATCTGCACGAGCAGTCTGTGGGTGAGCACACACATCTGCAGCGAAGGGGGACAGAGCGTGATGTGGAGTCTGGAGGTGACAAGGCAGTAAAAAAATCTCAACTGACATGCTGTGATAATGAGCAATGAAAACAAGCCTGCTTCTCTCCAAAACGCTCTTAAATAATACATGCATCTAAGGCAGCAGTGATTTTAAGGCTTTAATTATTTAGTGAATATTAGTAGTAGAGCTGTTGGGAGGCGGGGAGCGCAGTGTTCCGGACCCCGTGCCTGCCCCGGGCGCTGGCGGGTCTCTGCGGCGCTGCCCAGCCCTCCGCGGGACCCCTGCACCCCCTCACGGCATCGCGGCGCCCAGCGGGAAGGGGCTTTGCCGCGGGGGTTTGGGCGTTGCCTGGCAGTTGCAGGCGTTCCACTCCTCTTCGTTTTGCAGCTCCCCACCAGAAGCAGAGCCGTATTTTACACTGAACATGTGGAGCAGCGCTCGTGCCTCCCTGAGACACGCAGACTGTGTCATTTCAGGTTATGCCATAAAATACCACGTTCTGCCGCTCACTTAAAGGTCAGCCGGAGTAGGACAGCGTTTTTATTTTATTTTTGTATGCAGGATTCAAAAGCCTTGTTCTCTTACAATGCTTTTATGGTTCCACGAGATAAGATTTTTTTTAAAAAGGGCTCCAGTGGGGAAATACCAGTTAAATGGGAGGCAGAAGCGTGCCAGCAGCTCTGGAACTTATCCCAGGCTCTCCGGGGCTTTCCTGCGCTCGGTGTTAAACACACCATCCATCCCATTTGCATTTTCGGTCGATCTGGTTCGAAGTTTCCTGCTGCTCAGCAAAAGGAGAGGCACCCGCAGGGAGCTTCGGAGGAGCCCATCGCTCTCCCAGCACTTGGGCTCCGACTCTTGGCTCGCGCTTTCTTCCCAGGCGTAAAAGCCCGGCGTGGCCGGGAGCCGCTCGGCACCGCTGTCCTGTCGGCACCCCTCGGCCCCGGGCC